TGTTGATAGAAAAAGACAAGGTATAATCCACCTGGAAAAGTTCATTCAGATGGGATTTTTATCCCAATGCTTCCCCTGCTTCTAACCCTGATAACCACCAAGTTCAGTTCCACAGACCCTAGAGACTTTAAGACAGGGGTGGGGAACCTTCAGCCTCGAGGCCACGTGTGGCCCTCTAGGTCCTCAAGTGTGGCCCTTAGACAGAATCCAAACTTCATAGAACAAATTCCCTTAATAAAAGGATTTGTTCTGTGAAGTTTGGATTCAGTCAAAAGGCCATATGTGGCCTCAAGGCCACAGGTTCCCCACCCCTGCCTCTGAGAAACCTCAGACATCTGAGCCTGATCCTGGTTAAACTCTTGAATGAAGATGAGAATCACTATGGCCCCATGGAAGAATCCTGGTCTGGGAGTCAAGAGATCTAAATTGTACTCTTAGCTCTGCCACTAGGAGAAAACCTGTTTCTCCCTACTCCCCACTCCCCATTCCCTGCTCCTCTACAGAGGTGGGGGTGGGGGAAGGGAAGGCAGTACATGGGCGTGGAACGTTGTGTATCACATCAGATTTTTTCAGTGTGTTGATTGGTTTTGCTATACTTTTTTCCCCTTTTTCTTCCTTTTTATATTCTTTGTTATAAGTGATAGTTCTCTGGGAAGGCATAAGGGGAGAGACAGGAAAGGTAGGTGATATAAAAACAAAAGATATCAATAAAAATCTTTTTTTTTTTAAGAAAATTAGCTCTGCCACTGACTTGCTGTGTAACTTTGAGCAAGTCACACTACTTACCTGGGCTTTAGTAATCCCGTCTCTAAAACAGGGATAACAATCCCTGCCTAACCTCTCTCACAGGATTGCTTTGAGAATCAGGTAAGATAATGGAGGCCTAAGTGCTCTGCAAAGTGCCCTACGGATGTGAAGGGCTATCAGCATTACTAAGATGGTAATGGGCACTCCACAGTCTTCCCTTGTGGCTCAGTAGCTCTGGTGAGGGGAACCTGGCCCTGGAAGTGTTCTGTGCCCAAGATGGAGACAGAAAGGGAAGCCTCTACATGAGCTTAATTAACCCCACTCTGTGTCTGTCCCTGTAGCTGTGGACACTCATGTACACAGGATCGCCAACAGATTGAAATGGATCAAAAAGGAGAGCAAGTACCCTGAGGAAACCAGAGCTGCCCTGGAGGACTGGTTGCCAAGGTTTGTGGAGGCAGGAGCTGGCCTCAGTGAGCCCTGGAGGAGCCAAATTAATTCTGATTTCTCCAGTTGAGTGCTAACAATTTCCTGTAGCACTCAGCCTTCAAACTCAGTGATGGATGTGAGCAAGGAGAGTTACTTCAAAGCCCTCGGTCCTCCCTACCCCCAGCAGGCCAGAATGCAGCTAGCCTGAAGGAAGAGGCCAGGCTGGACAATCTGCTTCAGCCTAGGGCAAGGATGCAGGGGTGGGGGGAACAGGGCGGCTTTCACTCTAATCTCATGCCCGCTGGCCCACATGCTACACTATACAATCTGTTCTCTTTTCCCCCTTCTAGGCAGCTGTGGAAGGAGATTAACTGGCTGTTGGTAGGCTTTGGCCAGCAGACCTGCCTGCCAGTGAACCCTCGGTGTGGGGACTGCCTCAACCGAGGCTTGTGTCCAGCAGCACAGAGGCCTTGAAGAAGACTGCAGCAAAGACCCCTCTAGTGTGGTGGTATGGGGGTTGGATGGAGAGCCAGCTGGTATTGGAACTCCCGTTGAGTGCCCAAGACTTGTACCCACATTGGGACTGTTTAATAAAGTTTGATGTTCTTTTGTGATTGGAAATATAGCTTACTTCAGTCCACGAGGGGACCAGGAACTGAGGCTGAGCCAGGGAGAGAGAGATCAGCTGGGAGCTGCTGGCTGAGGAGAAAGGAAATCTCAAGAAACCTCAGCTGGAATGGAGAGGACTGAGGCCAACTTTTGGCTTTGGGGGCATCAGCATCCCCTTCCGTTTCCACTGTACCCCAAAGAAGATAAGTCAATTGGTGACTTCCAGGAAGGGTCTATACGTGATGATTTCTGTGTTGACGAGGAGACGCACAGAAAAGCAGAGCAAGCGAGCACATAGTCCAGCTAGCAAGTGAGGAAGTGGGGAAATAGGGCTAAGGCTAGCTTCTGGGAAGGCTGTTTGGATAGATCCCCATGGGACCCCCAGCAGCGTGGTCTAAGGGGCTGGAAGCAAACCCCCATGTTATCTTTCCTTCCAGCTGATTGGGCCAAACTCAACCCTGACCCAGCTGAAATGCTTTCCCCCAGGCTTCCGAGAGCTGGACCCTCCTCCTCAGAAGTTAAGATCATAGATAGATCTCAGACTGGGCAGGACCTTAGCTGTCTAGTTCAATCCCTTTATTTTACAGATGAGCAAACCTAGTCCCTGAGAAGCAAAAAGATTTGTCCGGGGTCCAAGGGGTCATAAATAGATCCAGAATTTGGACCCAAGTTTTCTGACTCCAAACCAAGTACTTTCTACTGTACCATAAGGTCAGAGGGCTCCTTGGAGGAACCCATGTAGTCCTTGGGCCCTCCCTTGTGAGTTAAGACATTTACCCACTTCTTTTTTGTCTGGAGTTCAACATCCTGGCAGGTTAAGAAAGAGAAAAAAAAGACCAGCAGGCATGGTTGGCCCCACTTGCCTGGGGCTGAGTTGCCACTGGAGGGAAGAACTGCCCAGCCCCTGCTTTCCTATTGCATTGTCTCAGAACTCCAAGCCACATCAGCTTTGGTGAGCCCAGGGTCCTCCTCTCCCCCTCCAAAATGGGAGAACACCTCGAGGGAGCTGCTTGAAGTCTGGCCCTCACCCCAAGTGGATGTGGTCTGGGTCACACGAAAACAAACCAAGCCTTGCCTCCAGCTTAGCAGCCTGTCTTTACTGTACATGGCAATTCCAAGTTTATTATTGATGTTAACAGTGCACATTACAGCTTACAATGCCAACAGCTTATATTCGCATTGGTTTTCAAGATAAGTGGAGGGAGGAGAAAGAAGAGTTATTACTATCATACTACAAGAAACAGATAGGTGATCTAGGGTGCACTATCAGTGGACAGCTTAATGTTGCATTTGCAGTCATGCATACCTGATTTCAGCTGAGTAGCAACCTTGGTTCTGCCTTCCCCACCGTAACTGCCACCACAGACCTTCTCCTGAGGTCTGTGGGTGAGGGTGTGCCCACCAGGTTTGGCCCTTACACAGGAGAGGAGACAGTCTACTCTGTATCTTGCTTTTTACATGGAAGGAAGACCCTGTCTTCAGGCAGGTTCAGGCCCTATACCTGGAGGCTAGATGGACCAATACCACAGTGTAACAATGAGTTTGACTCATAACAGGTTTTCTGTGCCAGAATCACTCCATCCATTGGTTGTCTCTTCCAGAAGCACCAAACAACCATAAAAGCATTCTCCAGTCAGTAAGTGGCCCAATTCCTCAGGGAACAGCTGGATGAGAAACCCCAAAATACAAACTGTCCATCAGATCTGGAACTCCAGTTGCTGCTGTGCATTGCAGACCCCTGCCCCTGACCTCACCATAATAATCCCTCATTCTATCCTCACTCCATCTTCACTCCTTCCCCTCCCCCCCACCCTCACACACAAAAAATAGAACAAACTTTACTGAAGCAAATCTGACTCTTCCCCCCCACCCAGCCCTGAGCACTTTCCTAAGACCCTTCCCCTCTCCACCTACCCCCAGAGCTCAGCCCTCCCTGACTGGACTGGGGCACCCTGGACAATCCTAAGGCACCTTTTACAACATTTACAAAACTACAGTATACAGAGACCTTTCCCCAGCAGAGTCTCTGTGCACCATCTTCCTCCAGGCCAGGCCCTTTTCCACAAACTATCCCCTGTTGCTTCGGGCTAGGAGGCTTCCTGTTGGCAGTGGCTTTGGGAAGAGGAGAAGACCCCAAAGGCATTTTAATAATTGACTCCAATAGTGTTCGAAGCAGAAATCCCCAGCCCAAACATCCGTCTTCAACGAAAATCAATCAGCAACTGGAAGGACTGGTGGATTAAAAAAGAAATTTGCAAAAGGTCTGGATTACTTGCCCTCCAGGCTCCAAGGCAAGAGGCTGTCCAAGGAAGAGGGTGGCGATTGCCAAGAAGACTTGAAGCATTGAAGGAGCCAATCTGAGAAGCAGGGCAGGGGATGCAGAAGCTGTAGGTGCCTTGGTCACCAGCTCAGCCCATCCAAGAACAGGTGCTGGAGAGGCTTATGGGTGCAGCAGCCACCTGCCCAATGAAACTCATGCAGAGTAGGGTGGACCTGTGGCCCACCAGTGACCAGGGCTTGACCCAGGTTCTAGGCCCACATGGAGCAAAGGCAGCAAAGCTCAGAAGCAACCCAGACCCAGACAAAGAGCAGGGGGTCCCTCAGTTCTGGGCCCCTACTTGCCTCCAGGGGCCTAGGATGGTCCCTTGAGCTATTTCCAGCATCCCCAAATGGAGCATCCTTCTGAGAGACCCCACACTGGGCAAGGTTGGCTCATTGCCCCAAGTGAGCTTCCTTCCCTCCCACCCCCACCCCCACAGGGCTCATCAGCTGCCAGTTCTGGCCTTGGTCCCCTGGTCCCTGTGACTTTAACAGGAGAGGAATAGTGATTGGGGGGAGAAGAGGGGGAAGGAAAGGACTGCAGAGAGGTTTGTTTTGCTGCCTGAAAAAGACAGTGAGGCAGGGAGGGAGGGAGGGAGGGAGGGAGAGAGAGAGAGAGAGAGAGAGAGAGAGAGAGAGAGAGAGAGAGAGAGAGAGAGAGAGAGAGAGAGACAGAGAGACAGAGAGAGAGAGAGAGAGAGAGAGAGAGAGAGAGAGAGAGAGAGAGAGAGAGAGAGAGAGAGAGAGAGTGTGTCTCTGTGGGGGGGGGGAGATTCCTGGCAGTAAATGAAAACATGTGTAACACGAAAATTCCCTTAAATCCACTGGTCAGTGGGAAAAAAAGCCAATAATAAAGGGTCTCTCTCTCTTGCTGTGCCTTTATCTTTCTTTGTCTGTTTTCTCTCTGGCTCTCTGTGTCTCTCTCAATCTTTCTCCCTCTCTTGCCTCCCTTTCAAGGAACATATCCCCAAAGAGACAAGAGCAAACACCAGGAGTTTCAGCAAGGGTCCAGCCCCCAGGGTCAGGTTTGGCTGCTGGAGCTAAAGAGACCCATTCTCTGGTCCTGCCTCACTGAGGCTCCAGTGGGGGTAGGGGGATGGGGAGGGAAGTGGCTCTTCCAGCAACAAGGGTGTAGGCAGGCAGTGGGACTTGGGGAGGGCAGACCAGGCCAAATCCTTGGGACCAAGAGGAAGCCCCCCTCCCCACCTCAGCCAGAGGCTCCTCAGCCACAGGTTGAAGATAAGCGCTGGAGTTCTGGCCTCAGGAAGGGGGTGGGGGCAGTTGAGCACACAGCCTGTGCCTCCTGGCAAGGAGTTCCCTAGTTCCTTTCCTTCAGGGAGAAGCAGGAGGAGGCACTGGCTGTGCGGGATGGGGAAGGAACAGGGTTTCAGAAGTTGCTAAAAATCTCTCGCTTCTTGTTCCAGTCCATCTGCGGTGCCCTCTTGTTGACTCTCTTTGCCCGGGCCTTCTCCTTGGCCTCTGCAGCGGTGGGGCTTAGGTGGAGTCCACTCTCCTGGAATGGGTCCCTCTTGGCCATGTCATTGTCCTATAGGGGCAGAGACAAACCTAAGATGGGGCAGAGAGGGCCAAAGCTCTGGGTCCTCCCGGGAGGCATCAACCTCCACCTCTGCTCTCCTTACTTAATAGAAAAAGGGGAGGCAGTGAAGAAATAGGCCACCTGTTTGCTGTTTATCAACATGGGATGTGCACCCACATAGAAGTTAAGCACTCATCCTACATCTCTGTCATGCACTCCTCCAGGAATAGGCACGTGCACACCCATATACACAGACAAAGCACACAGGTGAGCTCTTGGCTCATTTAGGCCACGATCACCAAAGCAAAGAGCTAAACCCTCCCTCTCAGATGATGGGTCACCCTAACTCTGCAGGAGGTGGGCAACTAGCCTCTCCCTCCATCTGGCTAAGAGCAAAGGACTCAATATACAATCAGCTCCCAATTTTCCAGGAACTGATGAACCAATCTGTAAATTATCTCCTACCATTTGATGGCTCAACATCAGAAATTGATATAATTTTATCAACAGAAATGACACTAAAGAAGATGTGTTGCCATTTGCCTTTTGCTCCCCTCATAACCTATCAGCCTTGCCATCTGCCCAGATGCTGAACCCTCCTATTTATGTTATCTCCCTCTATCAGAACATGAGCTCCTCCCCCCAGAGCAGGGGCTATCTTATCTCTCTCTCTCTCTCTCTCTCTCTCTCTCTCTCTCTCTCTCTCTCTCTCTCTCTCTCTCTCTTTTAGGCAACTGGGGTTAAGTGACTTGCCCAGGGTCACACAGCTAGTAAGCGTCGAGTGTTTGGTCTGAGGCCGGATTTGAACTCAGGTCCTCCTGACTTCAGGTGCTCTATCCACTGCGCCACCTAGCTGCCCCCTTATCTTTCTCTTCTTATCCCTAACTTAGCACAGTGCTTTGCATCCTATACACACTTAATAAATACTGTTTTATTCATTCATTCATCTGAGCTCCCTAATTCTTTACTATAACAGTTTGTGGGTCAAGGTGGGGTTGCCAAAAAATCAGAGATTCTCAGAATTGAAAGGGACTTCAAAGGTCACCTAGTCTAACAAGAGTTTCCTCTATAACATCTTTGCCAAGCGGTCATCCAGACCAAAGAACTTTCTGCATGATGAAATAGTCCTTCTCATTGCTGGCCATCTCTCCAACCTTGCCCTCATCCCTGTTCTCCTTTTAAGATATCTAGGGTCAGGTTTGTGGGCGAGGCCATTGGCTCAGGCTGTACGGTATGTCTGGCTCAGTGTCCAATAGTCAAAGCAGAAATGCAAAGAGCAGAAGTGAGACAGACGGAGGGATGAGGATGGATGAAGGGAAGGAGGGAACCAGAACGATGAAGAGAAGAAGGAATGACAAAGAGAAGTGCTCACAAAGGGAGGATCAGGGTCAGGTGGGGAGAGTTTAGCTTTTGGGATAGGGGACAGGGGACAAGTCTGAAAGATGAAAGAAAAGGAGGGCCTCATAGGAAGAAAGTCCAGGGGTCAGTCAGGGTGAGGGTCACTAGGGGAGGGAGATTATTTAGAAAGAGAAACTGGGGACAGTAGAGGCTGTGGTGATTCAGAAGTGATTAGCTGGTCAGTTACCTCTGTGTCCTTGTCCACATTCTGCAGGTCACTCTGAGATGAGCAAGTCGAGCCACCATTGATCTGGGAATCAGGGGGTTAATCACTCTCTGGCCTTTCCTTGAGTCCCGAGAGTCAATGTTGAGTGTGATTTCCCCAAAAACACACATACACCAAAGCCCTGCCCTCATAAAGGCCCACTAGGAGGTAACTCTAGAGATAGTTGCCTCCATGCCATGGAGAGGAAAGGTGATATCATACAGGGAAAATCTGGGCTGAAGCAAAGGTCAGGAGAACCCCAAGCGTCCAGCCTCTCATCACTTGTCCCATGGCATATTCAGGTAGGATTGAAGCCCCAAAAAGCTATGGTACCCAGGTGCCCAGTGTCTTAGACCTGGTATTCATCTCCTTTCCCTTCTCCCTTTACCACATGCATTCCTCCTGGGTCTTTGGTCACTTAGTTGCTCACCTGGGGTGGGCTCATTCCATTGGTAATCAAGGAAGGCAGTGGACCTGCAGAGGCCAAACAGAACCCATCATTGAAATGGGATTAGTCTTGGGAGGCTCAGAACATGATCCCTACCCAAACCACTGTAGTATTTCACCTATGGGGAACCATTCCCCAAATATCAGAAATCTCTAGGATAGAAAGATATGGTTGGAAGTTCTCAGGATGGAAAAGGTCAGTTCCTGGGGGTTTCTAAGGTGGACAATGCAAAAAGCCTCCAGGTTAGATAAGGCCAGTGTTGAGGGCACACAGAATGGATGAAGCTAAGTATCCCCAGGAAGGATGCTCTTAGAATAGATGGGTCCAAGTTTACCCTAAATAGACAGGATTGGTGGTCCCCATGAGAGATGATAACAGGCCAGGGATGGGTTCCCTGGTTCTTTTCTGGACTGCCCTCCCCTACACATACCCGTGACATGTTCTTCAGTAGGGACCACCCGTAGTCTCTTGAAGTAGGCATCAGTCTCAGGGTCAACCACAAGCAGCCGTGCTTCATCTTCATAGGCCTTGATGCTGGACACAACTTCAGCATGACGAAGTCCCTCCACATTTCGGCCATTTACCTGTGGAACCAGGGACGAGAGTGAGGCCAGATTTGGAAAGTGAGTAAGAAGGTAGGGGCCTTAAACAGAGATCTTCTACAGTCAAGTCAATCACCTTCAGTGTGGCAGTTAGGGATATAAGATCATAGCTCCTCCCCCTGAGGCAAAGGGGGGAGAGAGCCTGGGAATTAGGGGACAGAGATATCAGGTGAGAAGAGTCAGGGTTCCTACCCTACTTCCCTGGGACCCTATTTATCCCCATCCCCTGTTTCCTCCCCCATCCCCAGCACCAGGTTTGACATCAAATATTTATTAGAGCTACCAACACAGGCAAGGCTATGACTAATGCCACACAGCTCAGGTTCCTAACACAGCAGGTCAGCCTCCCCCTCCCCCAGCTCTCAGCATAGAGACACAGAGATGTGGGCCCATGCATAAACACACACACACAGAGACAAACCCACAAGAATACACATGGTTCTGGATGAATAGAAACAGATACAAACACAGTCTGTCAGCTCCCCTTGAGCTCACCTCGATTAACCGATCCTGGGCTTGAAGACCAGAGCGGGCAGCAGGTGACCCAGCATCCACAGCACGAATGTACTGTCCAGGCCGTGACTTCTCACTATGCAGATTGAAGCCATAGCCGTTGGGGCCTTTGTGGAGGTGGCAGAGACGTGGGCGCAGCTCCCGAGGAGTTCCAGGCACATCCTGGGAAAAGTTAGATGGGCAGATAGGAAAGCCTTGAGCATGGCCTCAGACACAGGTCAGACCCAGGAACTCTCCAGACCCTGAACCTCACCCCACAGCTCAGACCCACATCCCTTTAGGTCTTCCATGGCTCAGAGTTATGGTCTCTGAAGCTACCTAACTATCCCTATAGCCCAGACCCACAAGACTCCACCTACCTCTGACTTCTCAGATCCATGCTTTCCCATGGGATAGGTAGATGGGCATCTATCTACACCCCACTCCACTCCCAATGGCTGAGAACAGCCTGAGGACTATCCTTCAGGTCCTTATCCCTATCCCGCCCCACCATACATACATACACACACACACACACAACACACACACACACACACACACACACACACTGGAAGCCAAACAACCAACACTTCTTTTGCCCTGGCTGTCCTCCCTTCAAAGGGTCAATAGAGATCTCACCTCCCTTTTTGTTAACCTAGTTGTGCCCTGGTCCCACCCCCACCTCACTCCTTCCTGCCAGAAATCCCCTGGTACCTAGGAAAGACCGGCTAGCTGCCAGCATGGCCTCCCCTCCAGCTGTCAGCATCTGGGTGCCTCCACAGCACACACACCAGGACAACTATGCTAAAGAATGCAGGGTCACAGGCCAGGGCAAGGGGAGGGAAGGATGCCTCTTGAACTCACTGTTTTGTGGCTTTTCCTGGGTTCAGCTCTTTCTCCCAACTCCAGCAAAATTTCCCCCACCTCTATTAGCTCCCTGCCTCATCCCCAGATACTGGCTTTTAATAAGATATAATGTCAGTTCTAAGCATTTGTCCATCTGCCCACATTCATATGGGTAATGAAGAATGTATGTTTCTATGTCTGTGATGGCACAAAGTGGTGGAAATAGTCCTCAACTCTTGCTGTCTCCCCTCTCAGAGCCTCCCTTTCCCCAGGTTTTAAATGAGAGGGATGAACTAGATGGTCTGTGTAGCTCTTCTGGCTCTGACATTCTACAGACCCGTGATCCATGTGTCTATGTGTAAGTGCATCCATGTCTGTCTCTATTCATGTGTGTTGGAGGGAGTCATTTCTGGGATCCTGGCTCTGGCCCTTTGGTTGTTTTTTCTTAACATTCCAACAGCAGACCAAGCCTCCCCCAGCTGACTTAAGCTGGTCAGCTCCCCCCCCCACACACACACACACAGAGCTCACCACTACCACAAGCCTAGAGTCAGAAAAATGTGAGGAAGAGAGGAGCTCTAAGCCCCCTCCCTCAAGACCCTCTGAGTTCCCCTAGCCTCTGGCCCTGCCACCAGAATCAGCATCAGCCCCTGCCTTGCTAAGACCCTAGTCTATCAGATCCCACGAGGGGATCTGGAGCCCAGCTTATCCAAAGCAATGTAGAATCCAAAGATCATAACTAGACACACATCATGAAGGTCTTATGCATCAGATCATCAGATTTACCTTCCGCATTATGCTTGGCTTCCTTAGACAGATGGACTGACGAGATGGTGGTCAGGGGGAGGGAGGCCTGGAGTACTCAGAGGCTGAGGGGTGCCATTTCAAGGGATGCAGCATTTAGTTCAGAGCATCAAGAGTTCAGGATGCCACCCTGACTTTGGAAAGCCCCCCAGGGAAGGGGGGGCAGGGCCTCCCCCTTCCCACACCCTGGCTCCCCGAGCAAGCAACAGTGGCCTCAGCTAGTTCGGAGGCAGCAGGGCAGGTGCTGAATTAAACATCGAGGTGTGGCCAGGAGACAGGGGCAGGGCAGCCCAGGTGCTCCGATTTCTCAGGCCAACTGCAGGGGGCTGGGCAAAGAACAGGCAGAAAGAGGTGGGGGTGGAGGGGAATATATCCCCAGCCCCTCCCCCTCAAGTCACACACAGAGAAATTGAGGCCCAGAAAGAGAGAGACTGGACTTACTGGCTCAGCCTGGAAGAGAAACAGTGGAATTTTAATTTCCTTGTCTGTAAAGCTGAGGGCTGAGCTATGGGGAAGCAAGCCATGGTCCGTAAGGCTATACACACCCTCCCTCCTCAGTCATCAATCCAGAATAACAGCAACTCATATTCCTTTACAACTTTTAAGGCTTACAAAACATTTCCCTCACATCAGCCTTGTAAAATAGGGATTGTAAAATAGGTATAGTAGGTTGATGTCTGCTGCCCACGTTACAGATACAGAAGCTGAGATTCAATGAGGTTAACTAAAATGTAATAAAAACATTTATTAAAGTGCCCAACTTGTATAAGGCACTGTGCTAAGCTCGAAGAATATGCCAATAAATGAATACATTTGACTAATTAACTGACTTGCCCAAGGTCATCCCGCTAGTGAGTGCCTGGATCAGCAGTTAGAGCTCATTTTCTTTCCATTAGCCCACACTGCTCCTGGAGGTAGGAGAATGAGATTCTCCAGCTGCTCCTAAAAGAAGGGGTTGAGTCACTGCTAGGCACAGATGACCAAGGAAGTCAAAGCTAGAGAGAAAGGCTCCACATACACCAATATATTTATAGCAGCACTTTCTGTAGTAGTAAAGAACTGGAAACAAAGTAGATGCCCATCAACCAGGGAGCCGCTAAACAAACTGCAGTATATGAATGTAACATAATGTTATAGTGCTGTAAGAAATGATGAGGGAAAGCTAGGTGGCACAGTGGATAGAGCTCCGGCCTTGGAGTCAGGAGGACCTGAGTTCAAATTTGACCTCAGACACTTGACACTTACTAGCCATGTGACCTGGAGCAGTCACTTAACCCCAAATGCCTCACCAAAAAGCAAAAAAGAAAAAGAATGACGAATACGACAAATACCAAGGAGAATCATGGGAAGACTGATATGAACTGATACAAAGTGCAGTCAACAACCAGCGAAACAATAAACATAATGATACAATAATGTAAATAAGAAGAAAAAAATAAAAACTGAACACTGTAATTATAATGAACCAAATTTAGCATTGAAGATGAGCAAGGAGCATGCTCCTCCCTTCCTTCCTCCCTCCTTCACAGAGATGGTATGGAATACAACATATACTGTCAAACTCAGTTGATTTGTTGGTTTATTACCATTTTTCCTTTTTTTTCTTTTTTCTTTTTTTACTTTAAGGGATAGCTTTCTGAAAGGGGGGACAGATGTATTGAGAAATGAAGTTGATGTAAAAACAAGGATATCAATATATAAATATATACACACATACATATACACACACACACACACATATATATATTCTGTACTCTACCCTCATATGTGTATATAAATATACATATGAGGGTAGAGGTACCGAAAATTCTGATCAAGGCTTGTGGCATGAAGCCATACTTCAAAGGTTCTTTAGAGAACCCCAGACACCCAACAACACAAACACACATGTTCATGGACAAATAGACACCCACAGAAATACACACGCACCCATTCAAGCACCTATATTGCAAGCAGATACTTCACAACTTCAAGGCAACCCTTTTATTCATCTCTGTTGAACAATGCTGCACAGTAACTATTCTAAATCTTTCTTTAGTCTACCACTCCACCCACTCTGCCTCACCTACTCTTTCAAGGCCATCTCCTCTCCCTCAAAGTTTCTCCATAGCTTCACCCAGACTGGTGGCAGCTTGGTGGGGTGGGAAGACCTTGGGCAAGTCACTCAACTTCTATGGGCCTCAGTTTCCTTATCTGTAAAAATGAGAGGTTGGGACTAGATGGATTTCTGAAATCTCAACATTATCCTATGATCCTTTCTCCTAACTTCTGCTCTCAAGGTTAATTATTCATCCCATCCACATCTTCCCTCTTTTCTAGAACCTTACTCCACCAATTATTTCCTTTCTCTTCTGCATTTTCAATCCCCCCCTCTCCATTGGCTCCTTCCTCTCTGCCTATAAACACACTCATATTGTTCCTGTTAGGAAAAAAAATCTGCATCTTCTATTACTCTCACCCCATTTCCTTCTCCTCCCTTTCGTGGCCAAGCATCTCAAGAGTCATTTACACTGTTCTGCTCACTCACTACCTTTCTGCTTACTCACTCCTCACCACCCACTTACTCCTCAACTGCCAGGAATCTGGCTTTGGTCCCTACCACTTGACTAAAGCTGCTCTCTTATAAGTACATAAGAGAGGCACAAAGTGCTTGGGTGTATTGAATACAGAGTCAGCCTGGGAGTCAGGAAACCCCGGGTTCAAGTCCAGCTTCAGACACATACTAACTGTATGACCAAGAGCTGGTTAACTTCCCAGCTCACCTCCCAGGAAAGTCTCTAAATATAAATTTCAGATAGGTTGTTGATCTACATTGCTGGAAGAAGTTATGACAGCAGGAGTTCCTTACATTGTTGAAATTCTGGGTCTACATTTGACCTCAGAAAAGTGCTATAGAAGCACAAACAAAAGCTGCAGCATAAAATAGCAAAGTTAGTATGAGATAGGCTTTGGTCTCAGGAGACCTGGGTTCTACTGCCATGTACTGTGTGACCTTGGAGAAGGCTCCTAACTTCACACAATCTCTTTTCTTTTAATGTGAAGTGAAGATAATAATGCTTCCTTTATCTACCTCAAAAGGCTAGTGTATGAGGAAATATCTTCAAGGGTTATATAAATGTCAGCTATTATTGTTATTCAACTAGGCCCCAATTAATGGAATGATGAATCTCATGAAGTGGTTACACGTATTTGAATTTGCACTATTCAAAGTTATACATGGATAAAATGCAGTAAATGGTTCCAGCCCAATGGAAATAAACAGTGCAAATTTGAATAATGTGACCACTTCATGGGATTCATTCAGATTCAAAATTTATATTAATTGGGACCTAGCTGTAATTATTTGGGGTGCGGAGGGGCAGGTCAAGGAGAGGAACCAAGAAAATTGTCAAGGAGAATATAATGGCTGAGTTAGTCCTTAGAGGATCAAAGGATGATAGATAGATGAAAAGGAAGGACCAAAGAGGATATTTCAGGTAGACAGAAAGACACTAATGAGTGAAATTGAGGGAAATATTCAAGGAATATGGAAA